GAAGAGGAGGAGAAATCTCTAGAAGACACAGAGAGGAAACAGGCAGTATAAGATGGAAGGGAGGTAATGCCACGTTACAGAACATAGATTAAGATGAATGGGTTAAGTTATAAAAGCTAGTTAGGAACAAGCCTAAGCTATAGGCCAAGTTTTCATAATTAATAAGAAGCTACTGTGTCATTATTTGTGGGCTGGCAGGGTAGAGAAAGACTTGATACAGAAAAATATTTAAGGAAATAACCCCCAGGCCTCGTCATAGCACTCGACATTTTCTGCAGAATTCTTCGGCCTTTGGTATATTTTCTTCCGTTTCCTCATTTTCCCTTCCAGTGTCCACATTATTCGTGAGTGACATCTCATGCTACTAATCAGGGTTAAGAATCCACAGTTGCCTCTCTTTCAACCTTTCACCGGGATGAGTGGGAGCCAACTGCCTCTCTCACAGGCCGCTCCCATGGATGGATGTTCTCCGAAGCCCCTTCCCTCCTCTGTGTGTCTCTGCTTCTCCTGCCTCCAGCAACCATCCAGAAGCACTTTTCTCTGCAAGCCTTCCTTTTGATAACCTCTTGCATTCAGATCGTTTACGGGATGATGACAACATGTAGAGAGCGGCTCGCCCGGGGTCTGATCGCATCTCTAATTAGAATACTGGCCTCTACAGACCAAGAGGCCTCTTGTTCTCTGCAGAGCCCAAGTTTCTGTCATTAAGGGTTAAGGGTGACTGCCCTCCTGCCCTGCCACTGAACTGTCCGTTGCTTCCTCTCCCTTCCTGTTTCTTTTCAATTGCAGCAATCACAAGATAGCAGATTTTGAGAGGATAAAGGGGTTTGCTCAACCAAGCGTTGAAGTGTGCTCAGAAACAGCACCCTGACCTGAGCCTGGGCCCCACACAGTGGAGTCTAAAAGGAAACACTTTGCCATTCCAAACGAGAATAGATGAGGACATAATGAAGGTCTGTCCTAGCATGAACATAAACAACACACAGAGCTCTGGGCAGCCCATCGGGGGAGTTAAATCTATCTGAGACCAAAGACAAGTAAATTGCCTCAGCAATGTTATCTTTTTTTGTTTTGGATTTTTTTGTTTGTTTTGTGTGTGTGTTTGTTTTGTTTTGGAATGGATAGGATTTCTCTTTGTACCCCTGGTTGTCCTGGAACCTGCTTTGTAGACCATCTGGTCTCCAATTTAGAGATCTTCCTGCCTCTGCCTCCTGAGTGCTGGGATTAAGGGCATGCGCCACCATGCCTAGCTATGAGACATTGTTATTCTACTTTTGCTCCTGAACTTGTGTATATCAAGCACCATAAAAGAAAACTGTATGTTCTAACTGGGTAACTGAAGTGGTGCTATCTGCAAAACTGTACTTAAGTTTTGTGGAAACTGGTTTAAAAACTTGCAATACTCTGAGAAATAGGCACTGCAAGGGGCCTCTACCCTGACCTGTGTCTGAAGGGTCTGGGGAAGGAAGCAACGCTCATGACTGAGAGACTTGAAACCTAGAGTTCCCTTCACCAGAGGAACAAACACATTTCATGGAAATAGGACCAAGAGTCAAACACACTGTTTAGCCTCCCTCTTCATCAGGCTACCCATTGGCTAAAGCCAACAAGAAATGGGACAGTGTGGCCAGCTGATGTGATTCATATCAGTTAACATCCCTTGGCATAAACCAGAGTGAATAAGAGACAAGAAAAATATTCACCAGTCTCTCTACCGACTTACTCCTCTGGAATATCTCAGCGAGGAAATGTGGAAGGCTAGAGAAGTTTGGCAAATGCTGGTAGCCTGGGTATAATTTTTATAGACTCAGAACTTGTTAGTTGATATAAGTCATCTTCCCCAAATGTTTAAGAGCTGTGTGTGGTGATACTTACTTGTAATCCCAGGATAAAGGACACTGAGGCAGGGGGATTGTGACCTTGAGGCCAGTCTGGAACACGATAAAACCTTGTCTCTACAGCAGCAGTAGCAGGAGTTAAGAAATGAATTTAACAGCTAGGAAGTGGTGGCACACACCTTTAATCCCAGCACTTGGGAGGCAGAGGCAGTTGGATCTCTGTGAGGTTGAGGCCAGCCTGGTCTACATGACAAGTTCCAGGCTAGCAAGAACTACATCATGAGACCCTGTCTAAAAATCAGTAGGTAAATAAACAAGCCAGTCAAAGTGGGACTTAACCTGTATACCCAGTATTTAAGTTCAAGGATAGCTTGGGCTTCTTAGTGAGACTCTATCTTAACAAATACTCTTGCAACCTCATTCAGCCCTCTGGCTAGATAGCTATGTTCTTGTGAATTATGTACATAACCAGGCACAAGTAACCATCAGAAATGGGCGATAAAGTATGTGCTTCAGAGTTACATGTGATAGAGTTGTTTCTGAAGTAACTGGATTTTTACTCAGCAGCCAGCAGTCCCCTTGTCCCCGTTCACTACAAAGCTGACTTCCTGGATGCTTTCCATGCCTTAGAAAGGAAGCAAGATGACCACACAGCCACAAAGGGGTGTGTGTCACATGTCTTGTGAGAAGACACTGACATTTCCTACCGTGTAAGTCTCTGGTTTGCTCCCACTGACACCGAGCATCCAAATTACAATTGCCATTTTCCTTTGTCGTCGTGGTGAAAATGGAACTGCGTGTCGTGGAATTTGTGGGATTTGCTTTGCCATGCTCTTTGAAGGAGTGACAGCATAACACGGATGCTTCCACTCTCCGTTTTTCTCTGCCCAGGCAGAATGTTTATATAGCTTCAAATGCCCTGGACTCTGGAGCTTGACACTTTGAAATAGGATCAACGTGGTCTGCTGTTGTGCCAGTATTTGAACTAGTAAAGAACAGTGCATTTCTGGACTCAGCAGTCACCACTCGACTCCCAGGACTAGTGACAAAGCCATGTGGAAATGCCGCAGCCATGAGGATTTAGCTAATCCCTTCTGCCCTTTTGTGTTAGTTCTGACTAGGCAAGACTCTGCTGGGCTGTGTCCAGGATAAGATCTGTGCATCCGGGGGCTAGGAACATTACTCAGTGGTAGAGCATTTGCCTGAGACCCGGGGTTCAATCCTCAGTGACATAGAAAGAAAAGAAGAAAAGGAAAAAAAAATCAGTGCATACAAAAGGAGCATAAGCACAGTGAAGAAAAGCGATTCTATTGTCTTGAACCTCAGTGTATACCCAGAGCCCAGGGGTGACTGATGTACGGTCCTAATCCTAATGAAAAAGCAGCAAGCATTTGCATGTTTTCATTGCTAGACCTCTATATCCTCAATGCATTATATTTTAGCTTTAGATCTCCTGTATTATTTTTTTTATTATGGGGCTCCTAACATATTATTACTACCTCAAGGAGGTAATATCTGGTGATAAGGTGACAAAAGAAGTATTAGCCATGGTCACTCCATTTTGGAAAGCCCCTCCACTTTGGTTAGATAATGACAGTTGCCGGATGTAGATTCTTACTGGGTTTAATAGATTCTTACCCTCCCCCTCCCCCACCTTTCAATCCCCGGTAATGGCTGGCCATGAGAGCATCTGACTTTCTTTAATCCATCAATCATCCCATTTCACTAGCTACCCCTAGCAACAGCCAGCTGTGGGTTAAAGTAGAAAAAGACTCAGCCCCCTCCCCTTCTCTTTTCCCTATCCCTGCCATAGCCTGCAAGAGAACGCTGAGCTCTGGTCTCACACTAGAGGTAACCCCTCCACCTGTCTTTCCCAAATGTGTTAGTTAGGGTCGCTACTGCTGTGTGAAACGCTATGACCGGAAAGCAACTTGGGGGTGGGGCTTAGTTAGGGCTTCTATAGCTGTGACGAAACACCATGACCAAAAGCAAGTCAGGGAGGAAAGGGTTTATTTGACTTACACTTCAGCATTGCTGTTCATCACTGAAGGAAGTAAGGACAGGGAGGATCCTGGAGGCAGGAGCTGATGCAGAGGCCATGGAGGGGAGCTAATTACTGACCTGCTCAGCCTGCTTTCTTATAGAACCCAGGACCACCAGCTCAGGGATGGCCCCACCCACAATGGCTGGGTCCTCCTCCATGATCATTAATTTTTAAAGCCTTATAGGATTGCCTACAACAGCCCAGTTTTATGGAGGCATTTTTTCCAACTGAGGCTCCCTCTTCTCTGATAACTCCGGTTTGGGTCAAGTTGACAAAAAACTAGTCTGTGCACCAAATAAAGCTTCTGCTATTGTGTTGTCTCTTTCCTTCTCTCTCCTCACTGACCTTACAAGAAGAACCAACAATATAGAGAGACCAACAGGAAATATACATTTAGTGCTTTGTCTCTGCAGTGCTTTGTCTCTGCTCTTCAAATACAGTCACATTTTGAGCTGCCAGGGGTGAAGATGTCAACACATGAATTTTCATAACAACACTTGGTCCCATTTTCTTTATCAGTGCAATGAGCAGGACAGGAATGGTAGCTGTGTTGGTGGAAGAGTTAAGAGTGAAGTGCTACTTACAGAGCCTGCACGGATGGTGACATCAGTGGCATTATAAAAAGAGGAAGAGAGACTTTAGCTAGCATGCTTGCTGTTCTGTTCTATGATATTGTTGTATGACTTTTCCTAGGGAGCCATGAACTAATGCCCTTTCACCTTAGTAGTGTCATTGACAACACACACACACACACACACACACACACACACACACACACAATTCCACTAGTGTAGCCTAGTGAACCATTGGGTTTATTGAGGTTATTTATAAGAATATGGTGAGGAGTTATTTACAGGAGCATGGGGGACCCAGGCAATTGCATAATTGAAAAACACCCTCTACCCCAGCAGCCTGGGTAAGGACTCAACAAAAGCCGTGTTGCTGGGGTTCTCTGCATCTTTCAGGTAGCTTTGCCCAAGAGTGTTCTCTTCCCAGCAGTTGTTCACTGCTTGCATAATCTTGGAGAGCTTCATGGGTCTTGTAACTCTTGTGAACTTCCATAGTCTTCTGAGTTTTGCAAACTTTCTGAGTGTCATGAACCTCTTTCTTCTCTCCAGGATGGGATGTTTTCAAGCTGGAGGAAGCAGATACCCTCTGCCACGTCATGATGCTACAAGACCAGATGCTAGTGTGTTCATACAGACTTCCCAGCCTCAGACTGTGAGCAAATGCTAACCTTAACTTAAAACCTTTCTCTATAAATAACTAGCTGTGGTTTTGTGGATATGGTTTCCCCATTGACAATGATCTCCTGTGACTGACAGGCATGTGTTTTCCTTCCTGCTACAGAGATAACTTCATAAACAGAAGTTTCCTCCCTAGGCACAAATCTCTTATATGAAATGAAAAATTCTGCTCAGTTTTCAAAGTCCCATGTCTACAATTTCTCAAAAAAAAATCCATATGCCAAAACGGAATATTTTAGGATTCCATATTCTGTTTTCCTGGAGACAAAAAAAAAAAAACCCAAAAAACTAAATAAACTATCAGAATATGTAAATTACACAGTGTTAGAAAGTGAATTGAGAGAGTAAAGTAGGTGGTCCTGAGGGGGTGTTTTTTGTAAATCTAAGCTGAAGGATGAAAGCCTCATGACTCGATCAAAAGCCTGATAAAAGAATATGCCAATAAAAGTACACACACGAGCCACAGGTCAGGGAGGCCAGAACCATGACAGCAGCACTTGGAAGTGATGAGGTTCACCAGATCCTCCTTACATCCTGGAGACAGGACTTCTTCAGTTAGCTAGGAGGATGAGAGTACAGATGACTCCAGTCTTCATGGACTAAGCAGACAGAAGGGTGAGATCAGTGTTACTGAGGTTAGCGAAGACCTGGGGAGGAGCGAGCAGGCTGGGGATCCAGCTCTAATACTGTATGTTTGACATGAGTGTGGCATCTGACAGTTAGTGGCTTCTCAAAGGGACTCTCCCAAGACCCAGTCCTGGGAACCTATATGGCCATTTGGTCACATGGCCAAGTAGAAACAAGGTAGCTAGTTTGCTTAACTTAAAACCCAGATTATTTGCCTGTAAGTCATACGCTTTTACGTGTAGGAAAAGGATACAGAGAAGTTGGTGCAAGAAAGACTCAGCCAACCACTGCTGGCTTTAAGGATAGAAGGGAACACATTGGGATAAATGCAGGCTGCCTCCACAAACTGGATGAGGAAAAACAAAAAGAAAAAGACAAAACACAGATTTTTCTCCTAGAACTCCAGGAAAGGAATACAGTCCTGCCCATACCTCAGTGGAATCATCCCAATGATACTCATTCCGACTTTTGAGCTCCAGAGCTACCATCATCATCATCATCATCATCACCATCATAGTGTCTTATTTGAAGTCTTGATTTTTCCAACAATTTGCTACATCATCATTATACAGATACAATAGCCAAATAAAATATCTGGTAGGCTGCAAAAGAGCCTGGTATACAGGCTCTGGATTTGGGATAGTGGTCCAGGCTAGGTATAAACTCATGAATTATTAGTATATTGACGACACTTAAAATAATTCCTTGATGGTTGCCAAGAAAGTCAATACAAAGGGAAGAGAGCCAGAGAAGGGAGAAGAGAGAAAAGAAAGAACAGGTCAATTCAGGGGAACTTTGACCTTGAGAGTACCCCTCAAGACCTAGAGGGAGAATCTAGTAGGATGGAGTGGGGGCAGGAAGCCAAGTAAGCAGGGTGGTGATGGCAGCAATGGCCCACGCCTTTAATCCCAGCACTCAGGAGGCAGAAGTAGACAAATCTCTGTGAGTTTGAGACCAGCCTGGTCTACAGAGTGAGTTCCAGGATAACCAGGGCTACCCAGAGAAACCCTGTCTCCAAAATCAAAAACAAAAATGATAGTGACCTGTTAAGAGAAACTTTTCCTTGTGAGAAAGCCTTCCCGCCAGCCTGGTTCTAGAGCCGCATCAGTCCCAAATAAACACACAGGAGGCTATATTAATTATGAAGCTGTTGGCCTTGCTTGTTTCTTACTGGCTAGCTCTGACTTAAGTAATTACCCATAATTGTTAATCTGTTTCTTACCGGAGAATAGTTCCGGGCTTCCTACCCCATGGCGTTACATGTTGACTCTCTTGCTTCTCCTTCCCAGAGTCCTCCTGGACTGCTAGTCCCTCCTATCTAGGTTTCCTATTGGCTCAACAGTACTTTATTGACAAATGCACAGGACTTCCCCCAACAGTGACCCATGTCATGTGTCCAGAGGTTAGGGAAGATGAGAACTATGAATAGCAGTGCAACATAATTGGTAGTCATGACTTGGATGTTTGGGAGAGTTGGTGGGGGGCTGAAAGTTTGGATAGTATGTCTTAGAAAAAAAATGATAGACCGGGTGGTGGTGGCACATGCCTTTAATTCCAGCCCTTGGGAGGCAGAGGCAGGCAGATCTCTGTGAGTTGGAGACCAGCCTGGCCTACTGAAGGAGTTCTAGAACAGGCTCCAAAACTACAGAGAAACCCTATCTGTCTTTAAGAAAAAAACAAAAACAAAAACAAAGAAAGAAAACTGATAAAGAATAGAAAACAATACAGATACCTTTATAAAAAAGAAATTTGATGTAAAAATCAATGAAGAAATAGAGGTTTTTGTTTTTTTCAATACAGGGTTTCTCTGTATAGTTTTTGAGACTGTCCTGGAACTCGCTCTGTATACCAGGCTTGGTCTGGAACTCACAGAGATCCACCTGCCTCTGCCTCCCGAGTGCTGGGATTAAAGGCGTGCGCCACCACCGCCCGGCAGAAATAGGGTTTTGGCTGGAGGTAAATATGGACTTCTTGAATATGAGTGAGAGAAATAACTAAGGAAGATTTAGGAGCGGGGACTAGGGCAGGTAGGCGACATGTTCAGGGTAATGTGACAATGTGAAGCAGTCATGACATCCTCTCTTAGTCTAGATGGGAACTGCTCAGCTGAGTCCAACTCAATTGTGAGACAGTGGATTGTAAGCTTAAGTGTGGTTAGTACGGCGGGGTCTTACTGAGAAGCCCAGGCTAGCCTCGAAGTGATGGTCCTCCTGCCTCGGCTTCTCAATTCTGCAGTTGTAGATACACAGCATCATTCTTGGCACAGATTTATTTTTTTGTTTGAAGCTACTAATTTCATGAGAAATTATGTTTAGGAAAACAGTAAATGATGGTGTGGATTGAGTAGCAGCCTCCTCTGAGTTGATGCATATTGTGTGTGACAGAGGCTTCCAGGCTAGAGCTTGTCCTGGGTGACTCCATTTTACCACACAGCATTTAGCTCTGTTTTGAGGAGAAACAGAGAGGGTAGACTCCGTTGCATCCATTTGTGCATGTAGACACCACCACCCATCCAGCACCACCCACTAACAACAGGATGCTAACATTCCTTTTTTTAAAGATTTATTTATTTACATATACACTGTTCTGCCTACATGTCAGAAGAGGGCACCAGATTGAATTGTAGATGGTTGTGAGCCACCATGTCGTTGCTGGGAATTGAACTCAGGACCCTTGGAAGAGCAGTCAGTGATCGTAACCTCTGAGCCATCTCTCCTGCCTGGATGCTAAGATTCTTATATGTAAAGGGTACCACTCATAAACTAGACTGAGAACATATGGGCATATTAAAAACTGATGAGGGTTTTTTTTGGGGGGGTTAGAGGGAGTCACCACCAGTTTCTTTGTTTTTCTTTGCCTCCCTAGTGCTGGGATTATGGCCATATCCATCATATCTCAAGATCCAACAAATCTTAATTTACTTTTTTTCTTGTGGTAGATATTTACTGAAGGGCTTTTCTGTACAAGGCTTGGGTTAGTCTCCAGGGCACAGGAGTGGACAGGATTATAAAACCTTGCCCTGATATGAAATAAGAAACCGTGACATGGTGCAATGAGGTTTACTCAGGGAGAAATAGGGCTGCCATGACATAAACAGGGGTCCTAGCCCAGTTCAGTGTGGGGATGAGAGGCCTGGGCTGGAAATGGTTTCTAAATTAGAACAAGTAAAACCTGAGAGATGAAAGCTCTGAGCAGAAGGTATTGTGAACTATATTGGGGATGGGGATAACTGTATTTTTCTATATTTTTATTTATTCTTTGAGAATTTTATACAATTTATTTTGATCATATCCTATTCTCTCCCCCCAACTCCTCCTTGGTCCTTCTCCACATCCCAACCCATCCAACTTCATGCTTTTTCTCTCTTTTAAAAAACGTGGAGTAAATTTTGTTTTGCCCAACCACTCCTGAGCATGGGGTCTTCCCTGGAGTGTCACTCCATTGAAGAAAATTGATTTTCCCAGTCAGGGAAGCTAACAATTGAGAATAGCTTCTCGGTCAAGGGTGGGACTTCATACTTACCTTTCGTCCCAGTTTCGCTCTGGGCTAAAAGTTGGGAGTGTCTGTGGGTCTGTCAGCAGGCTTGTCCTCCCTGGAGGCCAGAGATGCCAGACGTGTTTAAACTAAAATGTCTCTGGGTCCACCGTGGCCAGAGGCTGGGGAATTCCAGAAAGGGGGTCTGGGTTTTCCTGAGTTCTTTCCCCCTGAAGGAGTAACAGTTTCCTGGAAACTGCACTGAAGACGTGGCTGAAACTGAAAGATGCCTTGATACTCAGGAACAAGACTGGACAGCGCCTTCCTCCCCCTTCTTTCCTCCAAGCAGTAAAGCCTGATTAACTCCAAGGCAGTGATGCTCAATGGTGTCCATCTCCTGGGACCACTCCAGCCGCAAAGGAGCCTGCCTTCTTTCTTTCCAAGTTCCTTATTAGAAAAGGCTTATTTCTCACCCTCTGTGGTGTGTGGATTTCACTCTTCCAGTTCAGAAGAAAAGAGCCCAAAACGCCAACTCAGTGAAAGATTCTTATAACTGCGGATGTCTGGAACCCTGACTTCTGAGCCAAGATCAGCCAAAAACCAATTAGGGCTCCATCTCTCTGATACACGGTCAAACAGATACAGGGGACAAGTGATGCTGTATTTTCAAGGTTCCAATCAACCAATTCAAGGTGCAGGAGTCTTTATTGGTTTCATAACAAGGTTCTGAGACAGTCATGCTGCATTTCTAGTAACCGTTCCTCTAGAACAAAAGTACAAGTCTTGTCACCTTCAGTGACTCTTTTGTCACATGAAAATCAATAACATTTTTCTAGGTGCAAAGTGAGCAGAAATATCATCACCATTGCCTGATGGATGCTTGTCTGGACCCCAGGAATGTGCTGGAATTTAACTTGT